TCACAAATTGAATATCATGCAAGTTTGTAATCCCTGTGGGATCAATAAAGTATTTTTGGATAGAATTCAATTAATCCGTATGTCTTTTGTATTATTGAAGAACTTTAAAGAGAGCAAAACAACAAAGAAGCTAATTAAATGTTAGCTTGATAATAAAACACATGGAAAGATGAATGCTTCCCGCATAGCCAATCAAAACAAATCAAAGAAACAGCATTTAAACCAGCCTGATGCCTTTAAAATTAATGTCATTAAAACATAAAGCCTCGGCTGCATTTTGCAAGAACGTGTTTTAGGAAAGGATTTAGAAATTTTAAACTAACATTCACGGATGACGTCCACCAAAGTCGACATTTTCATTATCTCTCGTCGAGAAACGATATCCAGACCTATCACGGCAGTTAACTACATGCTAGTCTTTGTCCTCATTGTGTCCTCATTATACACCTTAGAGATAGAGAAGATAAAATCAAATTACAGCCAGCAGAGGAAAAGCTCATTGAAAGGCCATGAACCCTAATTTGTTTTTATCATCCTCCTCCCATTTGCATTTTCATTGCTCAAAGAAGCTGAAGAGCAGTTCCTTTGACTTATTTTCAGGTGGTGTATTTGGTGATTACTGGTATTTTTCTACATTTTAAATAAACAGGTTATTGAGAGTGCTCTTTCATCTGTGTACAGTCTTAATAAAATCAAACATTGCCATGTATTTCACATTATTATTTTAAATGACAGACCAACACAAAAAAAGTGCAATAATGCGGAGCCCATGTGAGAACATGAGGAAAAATGTTTTTTTTTGCGTTACCTTGCAAAACTTTTGCGTTCCCTCACAATATGCTTACTGCAGTGTTTGCCGGTCTGCTCTGTATATGGTCACAAATGTCAATTTAAACTTTTGAATCTATACACATTTAAAGAACATCAGTGAAAACATGTTTAGTCTTAACTGATTGAAAATTGATTTATTCACTGCATGTTTGTGCAAGGCTGAGATGGAGCTGCACATGAAAACTCAGACCAACATAAAAGAGACACAATCAAAAATGTCAGATGACTTATTACCCTGTGGTAATAACTCAGAAATAGTCCAAATAGTTTGCCTGTATTTTTTCTTATTTCACAGAAAGTTTCTGTTTAAGTCATTGGTTTGTGGTGCAACATTTTTATCCTAAAGAAAAAGATCAAACTTCATATATTTCACAACGAGATATTATCATAGATGAAAAAAACCTCACCAGAACCTTATAGTATAGCAGAAAGTACAATGGCCACCAATAGAAAGGTTTACAGTACTCAGTTATGCCGCATTAACTAATAATATTGCGAGAGAATGCAAAAGAAAAAAAAAAATCTCAATGTCCCCTTGGGGGCGTCATACAATAATGAGACATTGAAGAAAATTTTGATTTTATTTTTAAAAATGTGAAAAGTGTAGCTTGCATATGAATTTAATTGTCTTTAGTATTCTAACTAAAAGAGTTTGGAAGGCAGAATGAGGTTTGTTATAGTACCTTACATACATCCTAAACAAAACACTAAGACTTAAGTTTTCTTAAATAATATACCCTCAATTGTTAGCATTTCTAGGTCAGTCTGCAGAAACCTGCTACACACAGAGACAGAGTATTGCTGTGTGGATGCAGAAGTATTACAGTGGTTAATGAGTCCGTAAAGAAGTGCAGTTCAGTCCAGTCTTTAATTAAAGTAGAACAGTAACGACGACAGTGAGCTGGGCAATGAGGGAGAGTGAGGGACGGCAGGCTTAAGGCCCACTGATACTCCGCATGCTTTGAAAGTTCCTTTAATCAAGGTTTACCGCTCCCTCCCACCACGTTCACAGCCTCCAACACAAACACACAAAACCCACCGTGAGATGGAGCTTCTTCATCTCCTTCTCTCCACTCAGGAACAAAAACACCAGATGGATTGTCAGCAGTGTTTTGATTAAGAAGAGATTTAAATTTTCTGTTTCTATTTTGAGGTCTGACTGAGAGCTTGCGCTTTAAGCTCACTCCGGAGATCGCTTCTTATTGTTTTCACAATTATGTTTGCAGATCCTATTTGTCTGCTCTGCTTTAACTGTGGATTCTGTTGTTGAATAGCAGGATGTAATGCATCTTCTTTACTAATGATGTGCCACAGCTTTAATCTAAAGGACTTTAAATTCCCCAAAACTCCCGAATTAAGAGGGAAACTTCCCAACCTATTCTCTCCATGCTTCAATTTATCACACTTTATTAAGACTTGTACACCACCGGTGTGTATACAGTAGCTGTCAAGAGTTTGTCTTCATCTTCTGATTCAGTGCGCGCTACGCCTTCAAGAAATGAAAGTATGGCCCTCAGCTCTATTGGAAAGTCCTTCTTTGTTTCACCTACATACAGATGAATTTGATGTATCTCTCACTGTGATTCAAGACAAAGTGTGAGCAACTGGTAAACTCGACAAATTGAAATAAAATTGGAGGAAATTAAACGCTCTGTCAAGTCTTTTTACACAGGGAATACACAAATTAGTTTTGGCTCCTTGTGACAACACGTTCGCTCATGGAGAATAATTTTCTCATTAATCGTGCTCATCCTGTCCGTTTCCATTATATTAGCAATTTTACATTTTGTGAAATGCATATTTCCTGACAGCTTGACATTTCTGTGGATGGAGTTTATTGGACTCAGACTTCCTATGAAGCGCCATCTATTTTGTATGATTGGTGCTATTAAATTTGTTTCAGCTGACTTCTTTGCTTTTCTATATTAGTATTGCATGGCAAGGAGTCAAGGTCCTACTGAAAAAAATTTTTTTCAATATGCATTTACTGGAAAACAGCATCTTTTTCTGTTAAGCGTTGAACCCATTTGTACTTCTTTAGTCGTCAGTCGTGTTGCAGCTGCAGACTTCAGTGTATTTCATTGGGGTTTTATGTGTTTGCTATTATGAGTCGTGCATATTTATGCAGGTGATGATACATGACTCAGACGATTTCTTTACAATAATAAATCTGGTGCCCATTTTTAATAGAGATGCATAAAATAATGACATCAACATCAGTATTGTCTGACATTAGTCATTTGTTACCTTTTGTTTTATTAATTTTTTTTTTTAACAAATCAGTGTCATTCTGATCCAGTACGTAAAACTGAGCTGATAGTAAAAGATATCTGACAATATTATAACAACAATATTACTGAATTTTGATTCCAGGACAAATTTTCATCCTGTTTATGGTATAACAATATTCCAAGTGTTGGATATCTCACAATCCATCATCTGAAAATAGAAAGAGGATGACAAAGCTGCAAACCGAACAAGACAAAATCGTTCACCTAAATTGACAGGTCAGGGTAGGAAGGCATTTATTTGGAGAAGCTGCCAATGGACCCGTTATAATTCTGGAGGATCTGCAGAGGCGCCGTTATTCATGTTGTCCAGAAATCTGGCATTCATGGAAAATGGTTTCAATGGTTTATATCAAAACATGTACATATGTTAGAATAATCCAGTCAAAGCTTGTAGCTACAACATGATAGGATGTTGAAAAAGTTTTAGGGATACCAATAAATAAAGGAACCACTAATTGAAATAGACTTCTTTTCTCGATGCTCCACAGAGGTGAGAATATTCTTTGTTCCATCTGGTAAGGCAAAGTGTGCAAAGTATGCAAAAAAAAAAAAATATATATATATATATATATCTGCCACAACAATTTACATATACATTGGGCCATCAAATTTGTCCTCATTTCCTTTCCTCCTCTCCACACTTCTGTCATGTTCTCATATAAAAAGCAATCCAAGAAAATGCATTTCCTGCAACAGATGAAGCAGAAAATGGATTTGCATTCATCCTCAAAGTGTTAAGTAGAAACATCTTTCCCCCTTTGCAACAGAATGTCAAGGTTTATGCATAAAGGCAGCACCAATATATTAAATTCATATTATTGGGGATTTTTTTCCACTTACGTAAGACTTACAAGTGGAAGTAGGTTCAAGGCTACTTTTTCCTTCCTGCTTTTCCATACATCTGTGTTGAACTGCATCTCTGCAATTGCTTTGCCTATTTTGCACAGACTTTAAGTGTGAAAATACATGTAATCTCAAAGCCATTTGTTACAGACAGGACCATTATTTTTCATAAAAAAAAGGATTCAAACAATTGAGTCAGCTTATGAAGAGGTCTTGAAACACGCCTGGTGGAAAGTTTGTAAAAGGGTTTGGACAGTCAGACACACATCGTCTACTGCTGAAACATTCCTTTAGTTTCTTATCCAACACACTTCTCAGTATCAAAGAATCCAAAAACCTGTGCATGAAATGAACTTATAAAGTCACGTGAGAGACATGCCTTCACTCAGTGGAGTTAACTGGTGCACATGAAGAAGAATCAGAAACAATGATTGTCCATACGGCACACCAGGAGCTGGCAAAGTTTCTGTGCAGAGAAATGAAACAGAGGCTGAAATGTGGAATAATAGCTGTACTGTAAGAACAAAGCAAAAAGCCAGCTGCTGTGTTTTCTTGTTAGTTCAGATTCATTACCCACATGTTTGAATTCTCGTCAACCCTCTGAGTGGTTTCAGAGCTGCTGCTGGGTTTGATAATATTACTCTGGAGGGAGGGCAGTGAGTGTGTGTAGAGGCGAAGACAGAACACACAATGTTATACAAAATTATATTGAAATTCTTCTTCTAGCTTCTGCCAGAGAATTTCAAAGATCAGACTTTGGCATTGGATGGTTTATTTTCAGCAAACACACAAAAGACACTGCCAGAGTGAGACTTTTTGTTTTCCAAACATGACAGAAGGGTTTTACTGCTGAACAATCATTTTTAAATACTTTTAGATTTTTTTTTTTTTTTTACAATTCTTCCTTTAACTGTTGCTTAGATGACACGTAGCTTCGAATCATTCACTAAAACACAACAATCGCTAGATTTATTCATTTTATGCCACCAGGTTGAATTCTGTGTTTTTTCTTCGTCTTTTTCTCTTTCTTCCCAGGAGAAATTTGCTCCTTCAAGATCTTTGGTCAGGATGCCCCTTTTGAGGCAGTGGTGTTGAATCGCACATCAGGAGAAGGAGTCCTGAGAGCCAGCAGTCACGTGGACTGTGAGAGCCAGAAGGAATACACCTTCATCATCCAGGCTTACGACTGCGGTGCCGGCCCCAGTGGAGACAACTGGAAAAAATCTCACAAGTAAGTCCAGCGCCAACGTTACAAATCTTTATGTAACTCTGGATGTTGGCCTTAAAAAACTCCCTTTTAACAGCAAGAAGCCTCCAGCAGCGACCTGCCACAGCTGACCGGGTGTTTGAGACGACAGAAAATAAAGAAAAGAAACACATAGGAGGAGTACTTTCTATGGTAGAGGAAAAAGTAACGAGTTAAGAGCAGTAGAATCACCACTGGAACAGAAACGTAGCTAAACAGACAAGTCAGAGCCAATTTGGTAGACGGCACGCAACGTTTGTCGCAGCAAAAGCTCAGCCAATGTCCAGAAGATACACATGAGAACATGAAGTTGTTGGCAGAAGTCACAATCGATCAGAATGCCTGGCCAGATGTAGCTTCTATGAAGAGGAACATAAAAGACAACATAACACTGAAAGCTGAAATAATACCAAATAATTCAACATTGGTGAGCAGTAGGAGAATGTGTGAACATTTCTAGTGTGACGTGAGCCGTCAATCAGGTGAAAACTTGATCAATGAAGAGGAATAGTTCACAGAAACCATCTATATCAATAGCTACAATATTTTACATATAAACTATCACAATCTATAATTAGTACAGGAGATGCATCTAAAACTTGTATGTTCGTCTGAGAATATTTTGTGCTTATTGCCTTTCAATAATCTGCCTGCCTTTGCGTTTGCAGCTCAGGAAGTAGACTGGCAGACAGGCATAGTGGTGTGGACAACATCACATCAAAGTCGCTGCTCTTTGAGTCAGAGATGGAACGATGCTAAAGTAAACTACTGCTCTGTAGAGGGGAAAAAAGCAACAAGAGAGAAGGATGCGTGATGGTTTTTCTCCAAAGAAATTTAAATAAAAGAGTGCATGTATGTCTGTTTCTGTGTGTGCGGTTGCGACATGCTCCAGAGCAAAACACCTTAAATGTTCCTCATTAGGCTAATGGCATTAACTGGCCAGATGTGCCTTCTTACTTACACAGTAAACTGTGGACAGTGATGACTGCTGCTGCAGAAAACTGCATCTAATGTTATTCATTTGCAGATCTTAGCGCAAAAACATCAGTCAGATGGGCAAATTTATTAGCTTTAGTTGAGAGATTTGCTTGTGTATGTCAGAAAACACTAAACTGCACATTCTGCTGCACCGATAGCTTGTGACTAACAAAGACATTACTATGCGATAAAAAATAAAGAGCATTTTTTACCAGGAGCTCTTAAGCTTCATGTCTAATTTGTGAAGATCAAAGAATCAAAAAAATCTTTGTTATATTTGCCTACATATACGACAAAAAGATGACATTTATTTTAACCTGACTTTGTTTACATATTTTATACCTCAGTATATAAGGTGCATTTCTTTACCTGAAAATGTGGGCAGGAATCCAGATCTGGATTCACTTGCTGTTCCATCCGGATCCAGATTTGATTCTGTACTTCGAGAATAACTTTACCCAAGCTCTGGTTCTGAAAGATAAATCTGTTTCTTTCAAAGAATGCAGCAACAGAATCCAAAGATAAATACTAGATTTTTCAGTGCTGTGGTCAAATCATTAATAGTGAAAGCAAAATCTCTAATGCCGCCACAGCAAAGTCAAGACAAAAGGTTTGACTCACTGTATAGAATCATTTCTCTTGCCTGCAGCTATGCCAAGCTGCTTATTAAATCCTTCATATTCAGCTGTCAGACTTTGGCCTTGCCCTCTCGTTTTGTATTTTTATTGCCCTCTTGTGAAATTGGCTTTTGTTTCTGTTTTCATTGTCAGTTTGTCTCAACGTCTACTCTGGATACACTCCTGCAAGATCGCAGTAATCTACATAATCGTTGCTGTTCCTCTTCCTCTTCTGTTCATGCCGTTAATCCTCTTGAAAACTGAATTTATAGTTGCTGTACATCAGTAAATCAAAGTGCAATTAGCTTTTAGATGCAAATATGATGCACACACATACACACACACTTACATATATACAAACTTTATTCAGATATCCAATACACATTCTCACATCCCATCAAAAGATGTGGCAACATTGAGTTGGCACTCTGTCATTTTCTTCTCAAACAAATGCGTTGATGTTGCTGCTTGCGAGCCCCTGAAGACTCCACACTCTCATGCTTGTGCGTCTGACGACGAAATAAACTTTGGGGCATTTCAGTCCCCACTCATGACTCAAATTTTCTTTGTCATCTCTTTTTCCATACCTATTTTTCTTTTATCAGTACCTTCCTTTTTGTGTTTAAATAAATCACCCAGGCTTTTTTATGTCTGTATTTTATAACGGGCTTCCTTCTTTCATCTTGTCTTCTTGAAATCAGGGCAGTGGTTCACATTCAGGTGGATGATGTCAACGAGTTCAGCCCTGTGTTCAGAGAGTCTCTGTACAAGGCGTCAGTGACTGAAGGCAAGATCTATGACAGCATCCTGCAGGTATTTATTTAGATATTGATTGTGAGGTTGTTAAACTGAACCGCCAAGCAATGTCAGTTCTTTTTTGTTGGTCATTATTTATATGGTGTGAAGGGGGCAGTGAATGAACCAGACTCCTTTTTTGTTTTCTGGTGAATCCCTAGTGAGAACACTAGCCTTTAACTAAAATGTTGTAAAATTTCCCCCGTTATTATTTATTTATGTCTCTTATTTGAGATATTAGATGTTAAAGCTCCGTTTGTCTGAACTTAATTTCAGGTGGAGGCTTGGGACCAGGACTGTTCACCGCAGTACAGTCAGATCTGTAACTATGAAATTGTGACTGGGGGAACCCCATTTGCCATAGACCGCAATGGTAAGTGTTTTACATGCATGCTTGGGTAAGTGGTAAAAAGTTGAGGAACCTTTTTTTCTTGTTGTCCATTTGTTATGTTTTCTGGGGCACTGGTGTAAATGATAGGTATGAGCTGCTGGTTCTGATTCAAAGCAATTTGTTTTGTCTCATATTTCAGTGAAAAAATGTAATCTCCTAAAATCCTTTTGTTGAGAATGCATAATGTAAATAACTTGCTGTATATAACAAAGTGCTAGAGAAATAGTCATAGATATATATTTCACATTGTGCCTCGCAAAAGTATTCACGCCCCACAAAGTTTTCCACAGTTTTTACTTTATGTTGATGAACATTTTGGGTTCACACATCAAAAGATTTTATAAAGACTACATCTTAGGACTGTGAAAGGAAACTGATTCTTGGTTTTCAAATGTTTTTACTCATAAAAAATTTTAATTATTGTGGCATTTTGTATTCAGCTCTTATAAGTCAATACTTTGTGGAAACCATCTTTTGTTGCGTTACAATGTTTTGTACATTTAGGAACTGAATTTGAAGTTAATGACAAACCAAGTTCAGACGGATTGGGTGGACGGCATCTGCACATTTTCATGTCTTAGCATCGATTCTTCACTGGATTTAAGTGCGGATTTTGACTAGGCCGTTATGATACATAGATGAGCTTTGGTCTAAAGCATTACATTTTGACTCTTGCTGTGTGTTTGGGACTGTTGTCTGCCCTGACCCCACAGATTTCCTTTGGCCTGTTATTTTAGGTTATTTTAGGTGAACATTATAGCACACTCATCATGTTAATCGGTCTTTTATGAGATGTTTAAAGTTTAAAGTTATGTTACGTCTTAAGGTCCTTGGATAAACTGAAATGAATACTAAGGTATCGGAGTAAGTGGGTTTGAATGTAACAAGACAAAACTGGAAGAATTCAAGTTGTATAATTTTTTTTGTAAGGTATAAAGGGGGTAGGTAATAAGCTATTCAATAGAAGGAGAAAGAGTTCAAGAAAGTAAAATTCACCACTTTTTTTAAATAAATTTTTCTGAGTTTTAAACCAGGTTTACAATGCCCTCATAGGAAATAATTTGTGATTCAGTGCTTTGGACTCCTTTGTAATCATAAACATATTGTCTGAAATATATGATTAAATTTTATTACAAGCAGCAGGCTGTTTTCTGCTAACTGGATTATTTCTGCCTCACTTAAATACAAACAGAATGGCTTGATGAGAGAAATGGGACATTTTCTCTTTTGTACATGTTTTCCTTGTGATCTCTCAAACCTGGTGTAAACATGAAACGTCTGTGCTAAATATAGATGTGGCCAACATCGAAAACAAATTCCTCAACGTTCTGTGGAAGCTAGCAATGAAAGATATACTATTAAAGTGGGTTTGAAATGTAAAAATGTGCAAAATATGTCAGCTCCATGGTTCAGAAGTCACTGAACATTTACAGTATCTACACCAAAACCAAAGCTTGTTTTTTTTTATATCACTTGCTAATTTATTTCTTCCCTCCTGTCCTATCTGCTTAACTGGTTGTTTTCTATTTCTGTTGAATGCACAATTTAAAGCATATCTCGCTGTATAAAATCTCACTTTGGGAGTTAGAATGCATCTAGTTCAGTGTGATCTGAGTGCAGTGCAATGCAAGCTGAAGGTGTGTGTGTGTATATTTGCTGTTCAGTCAGACAGAAACACGAACTTTCTCCACAGTTACTCACCTCTCTCTGGGTGGTTCAAGCTTTTATTAATATTTTTTGTCTTATTGCTTTGTGATTTTAATCTCCAAGTTTTTTTTTTTTCCGTGTATTTGACACCAGTCTGACTTACTCTCCTCGCTCGCTCAATAATGCTGCTTGGAGGGCAGGATAAGCTGCAGGTTATTGGTTAGATTTTCACTGTACAGTCATGGTAACTTTGTAATGTGGAAGGGAGCACAAAATAGAAAAAGTAATTGAACTGCTCTGCAGCAAATACTTAATGTTAGATGGAGTTCATTTTATTAAAGAGTGAATTGAAAATGAATCAGGGATACTCTATTGAGTTTTTTATTTTTAAGATGTTATAAACAGGTAAGACTAGACCTGTACAGTACTTTATCGTGGTCGCTAATGCTAAGGGCTAGGACTAAGACCAAAGCAGACTTTTTAAGTGAATACTATTGTATCGACCTTTAGACTGTAGTCAAGTTTGCATTAATTGTGATATAAGGAGATAGTTTTTAGGAAATGGAGGTTGTTTTCTTCGTCTTGTAAATAACCACCTAATGTAAAAATTACGACAGCCGAGACGGGACAAACGCCTGACCCAAAACTCCAGCAATCCTCTTCTTCAACACTGCCCTGCTATTAAAAATCCCAAAATATAACAAATATGAGCACGTCTTCATGCTGTAACACTTCCACGTTCGTCTCAGGTCCAACAAGTTGACTTCACAACAGATGCATTCAGGTTCACTGTATTTATTCCAAGAAAAGAAAAAATCAAGTTGGTGGTTAACAACAGCCCAGCAGCTTATGGCCCTGTACACTAAATACAATTCAATAAATAACTCTAAACAAACTGTAATAGCACTTAGAAGCAGTTACCATTTGTGCAATTCCACCTGTTGTTAAGTGGCAGAAACATCGTTGGTGTGTTTCTATTTTATTTGGGTTTCAGACTGTCAGGGAGAGAGATTTTCCCTGTCTGACTTTGATTCCTCGCTTGTCTTCTTCTGTCATGTCAGCTTATCTTTCTTTTACATTCTGATGTTCTCTGAGCCGACTGGATCTCACTCGCTTCCTTCACTCCTCTTTACCAAAGCAGAGTGAGGGGGTTTTGTACCATCAAGCCTTCAGATAGTGACAGCGATGATATTTTCAGTGTTGCTAAAAAAAAACTAAACTAAACTAAACATGCCCTGGGTTTGCAAGAAAACCAAAAAGTGATATCTGAGCTTAAGCCAAACTGGCTTCATAGTATCCCTGGAAAATAAGTGGGAGGATAAAAAACATAGACATTTAAAAAAAAAAAAAGCTAAATTGCATGACATGTCCTAGAAATGACTAGTTTGAATCCAGGTTAAGTTTAGTTAACTAAACAAACAGCTAGTACTTGTATTTGTTCTTCTTCTCATTTTTTTTATTTTTAGTATGTATAAACAATTATTATTTTAGCATTCATAGCAAGATCCAAGGTATATTTTGAATAATGTCTATCTTAGCAGCCATTTACAGAACATTGGCTTCTGAAAGATTTTGCCCAAACTTAACTCCTGCGACCTTTCTATCAGCCTCAGTCATTTGTTGTGTGCGTTTCAACAGCGGGGATTACGACCAGGCCATTTTCTGAGATCATATCCTTTGACACTGAACACTCTCGACACAATCCAGAGTGGCTTTAAAGGTTGTGAAATCAGATCCAAGCAGCATCAATTTCAAATTGTCTTATAGTGATTATGGTTTAAAAGCCACAGATTGCCACTCCAAACTGTGTGGAAACCTGTACTTGGATTGATTTTCAAATTAACTTTGCTCATCTTGACATTTTGTGCAGGAAAATAAAAGGAAAGATAAGGAAAAGTCTGATCGGGATGGAAACATCTAAAGACAGTTTATGACAGCTTCACGGCAATTAAGCTTTGAAACTGCATTAAAAATAATTTCGAGCTCAGATGAAGTTTGTAACAATCTGCTGATCTTTAATAATTAAAGCCTGTGAGATGTGTCTCTTTGAAACAGTAACAACATGCAGTAGTCCAACAACTCAATTGATGATCAACAATCCTAGACAGTTGTGATTTCTTGAATCTGTTTTCCAGAAAATAAACACTAAAATAATCCACATATCTTTAAGAAGCTCTCTTTTTTTCTCTTTGTTCATCTCTGTTGAGGCACTGATGGTCTGTGCTTACTTTAATTCAGTATTTTCACTGAAGCTGGTGGATTTTATCAATGCATTCAAATGCAAACAATGTGAAAAGCAGCATCATTGGCTGCTTTTATGTTAATACAAAAATCCTAATAAGCAACTGGTATATAATGACGAGAATGTTGAACCAGTAAGAAATATTTTTGCATCTTCCTACTTCAAGGCTGTGCATTTAGTTTAGGATTTATAAAAAAAATTGATTTGGTAAGGCTGTTTAATAAGGCTGTTTAAGCTGCTATATCTTAGATTTTGAGAGTACAAACGCTGAGAAAAAAGGGCCAGAAAAATGTTTTAAATCACATATCTGTCTGTCAGTGACGCAAAAGGTGCAGATATTTCTTTCTCTTTATTCTCTTTATTTTTTCAGTCATTCTTTTTATTAAATTACTCAAATGAAAGTATGAGATAAAACTTTTAGAATCTATGAATTGTGTAAATAAACCTTTAGCTAAAGAATATGAACAAAACCATAAAACAGTGAAATAAACTTAATTCCTGAAATAAACCTTGTGGATGCTACATGTGATAATGTTGAATCTCAACTTTTCCACAACCATGAATGAAAATAGTGAACATTCACAGAGAAAGAGAGAAAATCAGCAACATGTAAGCCTTGATAAGCCTCCTGTGTGACTTTAAAATATGGCCACATAAACATGAATGTGTAACAATAAAGATCTTATTCTTTGTTACACTGCTTTTTGAATTCAGTGGCATTTGGCTGCTCTAGAGACATCGGTCTAAAGTCATTTGTTGCGTTTATGCAGACTGAAAAAGACAATCTGTCCATCCTAGTTTATACAAAATTTTCACAGGGAGGTTGTTTATTTTTCAATGCAATAGAAGTTCACTCAACTGTGACATCAGGCTAAAAGTTATTTTCCTTTCAGTTCCACGGTTTGCTTTTGCCTCTTTTTTTTTAACTCGGCATATAATTGTAGTTTCCTCAGCTGAGGAATAATCCCCTTTTTCTTTCTCTGTTTTCTTTTCCCTCGTAGGTAACATCAGAAACACAGAGAGACTGAGTTATGAAAAGCAGCAGAGCTACAGGATTATGGTGTCTGCCTTTGACTGCGGTCAGAAGAAAGCAAAAGAAGATGTGGCAGTTCACATTGAAGTCAAGCCTGTCTGCAAACCTGGATGGCAAGGTCAGAAACAACATCATGTGTGAACTGCACAGATGATGTCTTGCCTTGAAAACTCAACAGAAACTCACTGACTAGTGTTTATATGTTGCTTTCAGGCACCTAAATGTAGCCGATGCATTCAAAGTTGAAAATTGCAATTCAGAGGAGCCTTATGGGCCCACTCTGCTTTGTTCAGGAAGTTCTTTCTCATTTTATATCCAATGTCTCTGAAGGAAATCAAAGGACCTGACACAAACCTCAGGAGGGAAAGCTGACCAGACCGGTCCTTTTTTCTTCGTCTTTAACATGCCAACAGCTTGGCATTCAGTTCAGCCCATCTCCCCTGCTGCTTCACCTGTCTGCTCTGACAGCAGCTCAGGAACCCAGCTCATGAATCAATGAGAGAGAGAGAGAGAGAGAGAGAGAGAGAAAGAGAGAGAGAGAGAGAGAGAAGGAGGAGAGAGGTAGAGAGAGGCAAAGGAAGAGGTTAAATGAACAGATTACAAGAGAGACAAAGAATAGAAAACAAAGTTCCAGGGATGGAGGGAGAGTGACGGCTCTTTTTATAAACCTGATGAAAGAAAAACTAGTCTGGGTGGAGATATTTCACTCATTTTATCATCTTACAAATTAATGTGCCACAAAGTTGTGACTTTGGTCCAGATCAAAGTTATTATGGCAATAACCAATAGTCACAACCTTCCAAAACATGTAAATCTGTTAGTCAAGTTTTATTGTGTTTATTTGTTCAAATCAATAATTTGATTAAGCCACTATCAGTATTGATTATATTTCTATTGTGTGAATAGTTTAAAGTGCTTACAGCAAACAGCAAGTGAGACAAAAGAGAAATTAATCAGTTTGGTGTTTGTAATCAATGCAGAAAAAAAAAAACTTCTCTAAATTTCCATTTTGTTGATCCAAGCAACACTCCAAACTTTAATATTCAAAATGAATTGTAAAGTTTTCTACCATACATATGTTATTAATAAACATTTGAACATCACAACCTTGAAGTCCAGTTTGGTGTAATAAACCAGCATAAAGTACTACATAACTATTATATACAAGTAAATGTAGAAGCGACATGGTTTCAAAACGTCTCAGTCGGGCCTTTGTAATGAGCCTTGCTTTTGTCCAGGAGATTTAGAAATGACTGCTCTCAGATGCTCTCCATCAAATGTTATTTAGTTGACTTGAATTGGAGGAAATGTCCAGTCTTGCCAAGCTGCTCAAGACGCACTCCGTCAGACTTGCAGCCACAACCTCAGTATATTGTATATGGTTCTGAATACACATTAATTAATGTCACACGTTGCTGATTGTTTCCTTGGAGAACAATTTCAAAAGTGTTTTACTTCCACTACACAATTATACACCACTACTTGCCGAAACACTGAAATTTATGTTTGTATTTATGACTCATGAATTGTTATAAATAGGTGCTGTAACTCTTCCAGCAGAGCACTGTCTACTGTAATTAATTTTTTATTATGGTAAAAGCAGCCCAGATGAGTCTATCTACTGGCTCAAGCTCATCATTATGTGCTACACAAAATGAAATGCATCATTTTATTAGGAAAAATATTTAGCCTGTGGATGAGACAGATGTGACCAAACAGGAGTACAAACTCACAGATGCACATAAATTAGTTTTAAGTGCTGATCCTTCAGAACATGCAGGTTAACATCTCCTTTAAGAGAGACGGGTGTAAAAAAAAGACAGTCAGAAAGTAATGTGTAAAGTCGATCTAGTTTTACAGAAGAAGCAATGAAAGCATCTGCAGAAACCAAAGTCATTTCTTTCCAGGTTTTCTAAGATCTAAGAATATTTAACTTGAAACATCACCTAACACTTAAAATCCTTTCCTTATGCTAACATCCTTATAAATGTTACATTATTTCTTCAAATTTGGTCTTATAAAAGTGGCTATAAAGCAAAAACATTGACCCATGCGACGCATAATGCAAAACCATTAACCTCTACTAGCTTAAAACCATGAATAAAACATAAAGCAACGATGCATTTAAAGCTCTACTCCCCTCTGTAACCTATTTTCTCATGTGCAAAGGTCAGCAATGCTTCTGCAGCTGCAGTTTTATAAAATCTCCCTCACACTGACGGCAGATCCACTTCGTCTCTCGCTGCCGTCCTAATCACAATCTGTTTCTCTGGCTAATTTTCTCAGGAGACTTGATATCATTGACGATGTGACATGCACACAGCAACATCAGCATGTTGAGTCTCTTCCATTGCCCCAACGGAGGCATTTTGGTACACACTGAATAAAAACCTTGACAACTTGGTGATAAAAAAGCTGGCTGTCCAGCTGGCAGTAGAAAGCAAGGGAGCTCTCTTCTACAGCCCTTATTAACAGTTGAGTCATTTCATCATTCAGTTTGAGCAAATAAATAAAAATCTTCCCCTGAAAATTCTTCAAATAACAAGAAGGAGCAAGCTGTTCATTTCTAAGGTGAAGGCTGTGTGCATAAAACCAGATTTGTACAAACTTTTCAAATCTTCGTCCTACTTTTAGGGTGGAACAAGCGAGTGGACTACGAGCCGGGGACTGGAAGCAAGCAGCTCTTTCCCAAGATGCACCTGGAAACGTGCGGTGGTCCGCTGTCAGGTGTGAAGGCCATGGTGGAGCTGCAGACAAATCACATTGGAAAGGGCTGCGACCGTGAAACCTACTCTGAAAAATCTCTGCAGAAACTTTGTGGTAAGGAAAAATACAAAGTACAGGGGAAAAAAAGAGTAGAGAACTAAATAAATGAACTGTTATAAAGAAATAAGTGAGAATGTTCTAATTAAATAGAGGTCAGCTTTTTGATAGCCAAGAACTAAGACTGCATAAAATTTTAATTCAGATAGAAAATTACCTCCTGACATCTTAACCTTCTCAGTAGAGTAATAGACCGATTTCCATCATAGTACTTCAATCTTGCACATTATTTAAAGGAGCCTTTTTTTAAAAAAATGAATTAAACTTCCCAAATTAATTTCAAACTTTCATTAAATGTGACATTTATTTGATCTATTTTTACGCAGAAACTCATTGTGCAGTTCTTGCCTCATGAACTTGTTCACGTGTCACATGACCAACAAAAACGTCACTGTATTTTCTGTGAGAGGCAGATGGGGCTTTCTCTCAGGGATTCAGAAATCTTGCTAATCTCCAATAAGACCTGATTTTTTTTCTATTCTAGTCCTTAAGACAGATCCTCCCACCTGAGCAGCAGATCTCTGCAGCTTCTGCAGGAACGCCATGGACCTTTTGAGTGCTTCTCTGATTAATAGTCAACTTTTTTCTGACCTGCACATCCAGGAGCTGCCTCAGGCAGCACCGACCTCCTTCCTGCCCCGAGCCCCTCCACAAACTGGACCGCATGTCTCCTCACCGACAGCGGACGCGAGAGCGACCTCATCTACAGGTTTGACGGGCGCCAGGCTGCAAACGTTCCGTTTCACGTGGTGCCCCAGAACCTGACAGACCAGTTCACCATCGCAACGTGGATGAAGCATGGGCCAAGTCCTGGACTTAGAGCTGAGAAGGAAACCATACTGTGCAACTCTGACAAGACAGGTGGGGAAATCCTCTGACATTACGCTGAAGCTTGATATGACGTAATATTTGCATATACCTTTTCTTAAATTTAAAGTTTTGTTTCCCCTAAAAGCTCAATGTGTCCCCTCTCTGTTATTAGAGGCGTCCAACACAATTAAAATACCTTATAAAAAGATTGAATAACTAGGTTCTGAATGCATTCCACAAGCACAAGTCCTCTACAACTTTTCTGCCTACTTTATATCTAGAGCCTAAAATACAAAATTAAACATTTAGACAACGCAGACCATCTGAATTTTCTGACAGATGGCTTATTTGCTTAAAAATGGGTGTTTTGAACATGAAAGCAAAGCTTGTTTTTCTTTTTTTTTATATAAAAAGTGGGTTATTTTTCTGACATATAAGGAAGGACAAGCATCAGCTAATCACTGGGGAGTTATAAAAAGTAAAGTCCTCTTCTGAAAGCGTTTGATGATCTCTTAGACAGGCTTTACTGTAAAGAAGTCCTTGAGTGGAAAAGAGCTTGAGGATTCATTTGGAGGACTTGTTTTCTTGAAAATTCAGAAAATGAGCCTGCATCCTGTTTACTTTGCACATAATGATTGTGTTCCGCGTGTTTTGTGTGCGTGTAGAGATGAACCGCCACCACTACTCTCTGTACGTTCACAACTGCCGCCTGGTGTTCCTGCTCAGGAGAGATTTCACGCAGATTGACACTTTCCGACCCGCTGAGTTCCACTGGAAGCTGGAGCAGGTGAGGAGGTTGTGTGTGGTGAAGCGTGTGTGTGTGTGCATGTGTGTGTGTGTGCGTGCGTGCGGGTGTGTGTGTGTGTGTGTGTGCAGGCTTGTCTGTGCTCCATCTGAGTGCAAACTCAAACCAAGGGTGATTCTCTTCTGCAAGTGAAGGGCTATCGCTATTTGTGTAGTGAAGGGAAACGCTTTCCCCTCTAATTACCAGAGGCCTTCCATCACTTTCTTCCTCTCCCGGCGGGAGATAAGAGAGCAGCAGACACCCCTGTGCTACAAGTTAAAACACACAAACACGCCTACACACGTCAAGAGTGGAAAGTCTATTTAGCTCTGGTTAATGGCTCTCCCAGCAGCAGATCGCTGCTATCTTTCATTTACCTGGAACGTTTTTGAACCGCTGTGCAGTGATGCTTTCGGTTTCCGTTCTTTAGAGCTGTTTTAAGAGAAAGCACATTGCATCACATTATGTTGTCTCACCTGCCTCGGAAGGTTACAAAGAAACCATCGAATGTTGCACCGGGCCTCTCTTGCGTAAGAAAGGAGTTGCAGTGCAGGCAGTTTTTCCTGGAGTTTTATTCTCCAACTTGCCAAAGCAGATGCTTTGGCTTCGTTTCTTCACGTCGTTGCAGTGAACGATGCTGTGACGACGTGGCAGAGCAGCCAACGTTAAAGATTTGTTGAGCCACTTTTAACTATCCAAGAAAGTACTGAGCAGATAAATTCTCTACAATTTACATTTAAACGAGTTGATAAAGTCTCCTGTTCAGTAATTGTATACTCCTACTACTTATTTTGCTTAAATATGATTGCTTGAATACTGTTGAAAACCTGATTTGTTTGGTTTTAGTCGTGATGTTTATTTTGCAGATGCAGGAAATATATTTTTGGCTGTTCTGTTTGTGTGATAAGGTTTTGCAGACCAGAGTTTTACCTTGGATTATTGATTAGCAGCTTGCAAAAGTATGTGTGCTCTTTGAACCTTTTCAAGTTTTGATATGCTGCAAAAAACAAACTTGTGTATATGTTATTAGGATTATATGTGATAGACCAAAATGCGTGATGCAGAGTGGATGCAAAATGATCCATGGTTTTCAAAGTTTGTGTTGCAGATAAAAATGCTTCTTGGATTTGTAGCTGCAATATTACTTGCAGTTTTGCATATCTGTTTTTTTTTTTCCCCAGTTTCTATATGCGTAATGCCTCAAGGTTAGTCAGATGAGATGGAGAATTGTGTACAACAGCTTCTATACTCAGAAAAAGCCACTGATCTGAAGTGTTGCATTATAGTTGTGTCTGTGGGATCATCCTCCTGCAGGATGGTCAACATCCAGTGTCCATTTGTGGATGCTGGATGCTGGTCATCAATCCTGACCAGCTTTCCTGTACCTGTTGAGAAAAGGCTTTCCCACAGCAGGAGTGTTTCCTAGTGCTGCACAGTGAAACTTTTCTAGAACATGTGATTTATCCCAAAGAGTTTCATTTTGGTCTCATCTGAGCGGCACACTTTCTCTAATATGGTTGCTGTGTCCCCAATGGAGCTCGTGACAATGTTTAAACTGGACACTTGTAGATTTCATTTCCAACTTATTCATAAAGCTCAGATTTGTGAAGTTAATGACTCCAAATCAATAACTACAGTCTCTGTCCTTCAGAGTTAATTGTCTGATTAATACTTTTCTTACCTGTCTTATCAGCTTCGGTAGATGACATGTTTTGCAGCTGTGCCGTTCTCTTTCCTATTTAGTTGTTTTTTTGTCTGATATAATAATGCTCTGTGAAATGTGTAAAGCTTTCAACGTTGCTATAAAACTGAGCACAGCTTTCAGATTCTCCAGTTTTACCTCTGAATTGTACTGGATTCCTTGTTTGCTCCTTATTCATTAATGTTATACAGCAAACTTAGATTAACATTTTTTATTTTACGCTGTTTAACTCCATTTATAAATTAGGTTACTTTTGAAGAGAGTTAATAGCACTGGATTTTGTTTTCAGACTTAAGACAAATTTTGAAAATCTCTATTAAAGTACACTGAATATGTGGTTGAAATTTTCACAAAACAAGAACAGCATCAATGGGTATTAATATCTCTACAAGTACATTTTTTTAAATTTATTTTGGTCTAAAAATTCATATTTCTCAAGTGAAGTTAACCAACAGAGTGTATATTCTCTGGACTGTCTGTCGCGGCGTTTGTTCGCTCTCACCAAGAAGGGTTTACTGCAGGTCACTGGTTCGGCAAAATGCCTTTTCCTTCTGTGTACCATTCAAACAGGCATTTGTTTGATCTAGGTCAAAGGTAGATTAAAAAGTGTTTTTCTCATTCTGCTGTTCTTTTCCCTGGAGCCTCCAGAGGTGAATGTGACAAAGAAATGTCATCTGAGCAGCAGAATGCAGTCTACTGAGCAAACAGCCTGCAGACTCCTCTCCTCTGTTTGATTACTCTCTCGTCATTTGTTCTGTAAATGTTTTTTTTTTTTTTTTTTGCTTTCTCTCATATTACTACTTTTACTTTTTACATTTCACACATCTAACACAAACGGCAATAACTGTATAGGTTGTAGACAGCGGAGTCTTTGTTTGTTCATGTTCCGGCTGAATATTGTACCGGATACAGAAACTTCATCTGGAGACAAGTTGCTACAATCAAGTGCTGAAATATTTCAATCAAAAACAGTTTTGATCTCCAGCTTTGTGGACTCAGACTTCCTTTTAATTTGCTTCTGTTCATCCTTACGGAGTTTTAAAAGTCTACACAAGTTTTTGTTTGGACATTTAAGACACCTTCCCTTATTTTTAATCCAGAACATTTAAAATTTAAACTTAGATCCAATCGATCAGATTTTTAAGCGGGTTATTACTGTGGGTGCAAGAAAAGTTTTCTCTCCAGGGAAACCCAGCCAATTGGATTGGATTGTTGACTTTACAGCAGTCACTTCCCCTCAAAATCCTCCTTTTATCTCTGGTGAAAACAGTTTGTGGTCCACTTAAATGTCCTAAAACTTGTCTAAATATTTGTTGTTAATACATCTAAACACATAAAAAGGTCTGTGTTAGTCCAGGTTTTATACTTCCTTATTTCTTCTGAAGGTTGAGCAGAAATCCAGTGAATCAATCCGTTTTATCAACTCCCCACAGAGACATGGCTACTCAGCCTTTAACTACCATTTGCTGGGAATTTTACCGAGTGCAAAAAAGAATAATAAAGGCAAGCATTATATGTTGTAACTTATGTACTGTATGCCTTTCTTTTTATGTTTCATTAGATAATAATTCTGTGTCTGACTCACCAGTGATTTACCGCTGCTGCTCATCATCATCCTGGAGTTTCTGAAGTTCGAGGGGTGACCTATGAATTAGAGCTGCTGTATTTCTTTGTGTGGAATAATGAGGACAGGAGAAGTGGAGATTGTTGAATGAGGAGAGTGGTAAACAGGGGTAGAGCCGAGTGAGGGGTTTTATAGCTGCTGCACTTAGTAAGGACACTCAATGGCTTCCGTGGCAACTCCATTTAGCTCTATTGATTTTGCAATTCTCATCCCAGGAGAGGTGGGGTAGAGCGGGATGAAAGGAGGCTGGCAAAGAGCGAGGGAGGGAGAGAGAAGCACCCATTTGCCACATCGATCCGCAGTCTGTAGGAATGTCACTTCTGACAGAAACCTTTACGCGCGCGTCCACATGCTCTGACTTCTTTGAATTTCACGTGGCCGCGCGCACGCTCAGATGATTCTTATCTTCCTCCCTTTTTTCAGTCTTCATTATGAACTGGAGGACGAATCGCAGCTGTTTGTATGCAGAACCCACTTTCCTGAAGCCTAGAGAGTCTGACAGCCAAGCCCAGTTGCCCTGAGGATATTTGCTCAATCAGAAAATCTTTTTCAAGTCATGTTGAAAACTTGGACTCAAGTCACATAGAAGATGGTTCAGAAAACAGGGTACAAGCTGCAATAAACCAACGTTTCTCATTTAAAAACACCTTTATGCCAAGATCTAAAGTAACATGTGATGTTGAACCCTTTATGTGACGATACTCAGACATAGTCCAAGATAATTAATTTCATTTTATTAAATTATTCCGACCATTTGGGTGGACTGCTTAATTTGAGCAGGACATTAAGGGAGGTAAATAAATGTAAAAGCAGTAATTTTATTAAAACATGGGATTTTTATTCCAGTGAGGATAGTTTTCTTTTTCAGTGTTACCACAGTAAAATGTTTATTTTTGGGACTTTGCCAGGAAGGCTAATAAATGTGGCCAGCCCTCTGCAGGGCGGGCAACACGTTTCCATACACAGGAGAATGTAAAATGTATATTTCTTTCATATTTTAGATACCCAAGAAGATGTATTTGACAAAAGAGCAAAGAATTGAGATTATTCTAATGGCTGGATCGGGAAGCTGATTGCACAAAACTTTAACAGAAAACATGGAACGAGCATCACACACACGACACTGTGGCAAAACTTATTTGCACTGGAAATGTCACAGATCAACCACAAAGTGACTCAAAACGTACAGGAATTACCCACAAGAATAAAAACAGTTGTCCAATATAAAATGTTTATTGTTTCTTTGTATGGAAACTTAAGGCCCAGCCTGCAGGTTGTCAGAGTTTAGAGGTGAGTCCAGCTAGTTTTGCTGCCCAGAGGCTGCATATTTCTAGAAACAAATATCACTTCAGAATCAATCAATATTTCCATCCAGACTTTCTGAAATAATAAAACATTTGTGCCCATCAGGAACTTTGTAAAGTCCCCTGCTATTAATCATCACGGCAGTGGTTAGTGGCAGCCCCACAGTGCGGGAGTCGAGCAGCGTCACATTTTCTGCTTGTCAGTAATGCATCTAGCCTTATCTGCCTTATCTGCTTGCTAACACCATGCCTGTGGTACTGTAGATTGTTCCCTGCTTCGTGTTGATTAGAAGCCCTCGCTTTGTTTCTCAGGAGATTAATTGGATGCTGCAGATAGTTGTGACTCTGTGAGAGTGGAGAGATTCTCTCCCTG